CATAGGGTTGAGGACTGTGATTGATTTCTGGAGTTCCTTTTTTAGGTCTTGTATCATCTCCTCAGGACTGCCTCACGTGCTGTGGACCATCCTTGTTGTGTTCTAGCCAAGAAGGGAATTATCCAGTTCTCCTTCTCATCATAACTGGTGCCAACTCTTCCCTCAAGTGGCAGTGGTTGGGATCAGGAGTGGCAGGGTGCTGTGCTGAGGGACTTAGGCTTGCTTCTCTAGCCATATGTGTCTGTGGTTCTCTAAGTGTCCTGGATGAGGAAAAGCACTCCAAGTTTGCAAGTCTCCCATCCCAAATTTGAAAAAGAGGAACTCTGATTATTCTGGTCTGGAGCAGCAGACTGTCCATTTACAATGTACAGCAGATAAAGGAAGGCTTGCATACATTCCTTATTTACAGTTAAACCTCAAGTGTAGGGTTTATGTAAGGCCTCAGGTTATTAAAAATCCTTCTACATGTTCCATCCTGTCCTGAATTAATCTGTCTGAGGGAGCTTTGCTTCTGGGTCACATCTGTAGATGAATCAAGAGAATTGGCCTAAATGTCATTCAGTTTGACCTGCAGCTGCTTTAAAAGAGAAAAAAAAAAAACAAACAAAAACCAAAACCAAACCTCAACCAAATCAACACAAAATCCTAGTTTTATCCTCTCGACTTTCTGAATTAACTCTTAATTCAGCTCAAGAAATATTAATCATGTATCCTGAATAATGTCTGTTTGGCTTTCCAAGGGAAACCTCTCAAGCTTTAGGTGACATAGTGACATTTCCCATTGACACTCTGTGTGTTAGCTTTCCCCTCAGATTTCTCAGCCTCGGGTGATCTGTTCTGTCAAGCTTGGAGACTTGTGTCCCTGAGGCACTGACGTGGAGGTTAAAATTGTCTGTGAAGACAGAAGGGAGTCAGCCAGGCTTTATTGGGGTCTGGTTTATGGGGAGCCAGTGACTGCTAACTCTTCTGAGGTGAGAAAAGGAACAGTAGAATGCCTGAGCCCCTTCTGCTGAAGGCAGGATGGGTGTGTAGTGTTGGTGTGCACATTAATGAAGTATTTGAGATGTTGAGGATTGCCCATGTTCCCCATATCACCACCCCTTCCTTTCCTTATCCTTTCCAAAGCAGTTTATCCTTCACGTTACCCCCAGCACATACCCAGATCTTACCTGTACTCTGGGAGAAGCGGATCTCCAGTGACCAGTGAAGTGCTCCAGCAAAGCACGTGGCCTTTAAAAGAACACCCTGACATGTGGGAATAACTAGAATAACTCATTCTGTTCCTTGTATGTCAGCGTTGCCTCCCCATCTGTTTGTTGACCTGCTGAGGATCTAGCATTACATCATACTGAGCTGGGCCTGGGCAGCTACTGGTCCACGTAGTAGCTGTGGTGGGACGTTGTAGTACTTGTTTATTTTTAATCATGGTGGGTTCTCCTCAAAGAACAACTCTGATTTTCCTTATGAGAAGAAAGGGAAAAGTTAAGAGTGGTGGGTCAGGAAGAGAGGAGAAGCAAGGGCTGGAGGAACTTGAGCTGTATCAGGTTGGCTTACATTTCACCACAGTCTCTCTGCCTGGGTGTCCCCTCCCCACTGTGAGCTGCTGAGTCACCCCTCAGAGGCGCTTGGCTCTCGCCACCGTGTGGTATAACGACTTCAGGGGAATTTAGGCTCTCAGAATACAGCCCTCGTTGCTCCTCTTTTTAGTTTATTACTGAAAATAAATTTGCTACGATCACTAGAGCTCACAAGCCTGAAGAAGCAGAGTGTGCTTCTGGAATACTTTTTACATGGTTCATGTTGAGCCAGTCCCAGCAGCACGGGTGCACTTCCCGTGGTGTGTTAGGAGAAGAGCTGTTATCACTTGTCTGTGTTCCTGGTCTTTTCGCTAGTGTCACATCACATATGTCACTGGTTTGTTGGGATGTGCTGTGGGTGGGAATCACCGAATCCTAGAATGCTGTGAGCTGGAAGGGACCCACAAGGATGATGGAGTCCAACTCCTGTCCCTGCACAGGACAAGCCCAACATTCACACCATGTCCCTGAGGGCACATGGTGGCCAAATGCTGCTGGAATCTTGTCAGGCTTGGTGCCATCAGCACCTCCCTGGGGAGCCTGTGCCAGTGCTCCACCACCCTCTGCCTCAAGAACCTTTTCCTCATGGCCAACCTCACCCTCCCCTGCCACATCTTCCTGCCATTCCCTCTGCTCCTGGCATTCCTTGGTGGCCAGAGAGAAGAGATCAGCACCTGCCCCTCCTCTCCCCCTTGGGAGGAAGTTCTAGACCCCCAGGAGATCTCCTCTCAGTCTCCTCTTCTCCAGGCTGAACAAACCAAGTGCCTTCAGCCTCTCCTCACACCCTTCCCCTCCAAACCCTTCCCCAATGTTGTGTCCCTCCTCTGGACACTCTCCAGGAGCTTTATGGAAAGGTAGAGCTGAGTGGAGAGGGGGGCAGTACAGAGCTTCACGAGACTGCAGGTTTTACCCCTCGTTATTTTGTTGTTGTTGTTCTCAGTCTGTATTGCCCGTGGAAATAAAGTGCTACAATCGTAGGTGTCCGTTAGCAGCTTACATGACAGTGAGAATATTTCCTACTTAACCACCATCCAGAGAAAATCCTGATGATCAAAGGAGGAAACGTCCAATCTCGGAGTGCCTGGGTCACGGGTCGGTGCCTGTGGAGTCCTGTCCTCACATGCTGGGCAGCAGCCCTGGTCCACACTGCAAAGTATTTGCTCTCTTTGGATCTGGTGATCTCTGCCTTTACTTCAGCTGCTTGGCTCTTCCTTTCCAGTGCCCTTCCTGTGCAATGCTGGTTGCTTCCTCCTAGGTTCTAGAGCTCCATTTCTTAATGACCTGAGCTGCATTTGAAAAAAGATATTAATTCTTCTAGTGAAACCTGACTTTCAGGAGGGTACTGGAGTCCTGAATTCTCGGTCACTGCTTGAAGAGCAGAACTGGCTTTGGATTTGTTGGGGTGTGTGTGGTGTCTGAACATTTTCACAAATGTAATGCTTTATTAATTTTTATTTCTTTCTGAATCGGGACTTTGTGGAGATAATTAAGTGCTCAGTGAATGGTGTCATCGCTTTTAACCTTCCCCTGAGGAATTCTGTGTGCCATTTCTCTTTCTCCAAACACATTACTGCGGCTCTTACAGATTTGATGAGTCAGCAAGAATTTGTACTCTCTTCTCCCCCACCCTACTGTCCACACATTTGGAAAATTGATCCTATGTGCTTCCCATATCCAAGCAATTTAAAGGCATTTATGAAGAGTTCTGTGAAATTCCTTTACTCGTGCACAAAACTCCACGGGCTGAGAAGATGAGATGCCAAAATAAATGATGAAATCTTGCCGTTCCCGGTGCTGTCCCATCCTGCAGCCTCCACCACTGTACAAAAACCTTCAGGAATGGGTCTGCCAAGTTTTGCCAAATGGCAAAGTGTTTTGGGGGAGTGGACAGAGAAACCTCACTCCCCTACTCACCTCAGGCTCCCTTTTCACAGAGTTTATTGATATGCAATAATGATTTTGGCTCTTTTCAGCGTCAGCGTGAGCAGGTGCAGCTGCTGGCCCCGCTCCACCCGCAGTCGCGCTCGAGCGTCTCGGCGGGACAAACTGGATGCTGATCAGGATTGAAAAAAAAAAAACCTCAGGAAAAACAAAGAAGGTGTTTGTTTTTAACTTGGACCCGTTCCTAACACAGACCACTGCATGAATCCATCTAAGCTGTGGAACAACCGAGCAGGTGTCTTGGAATGGGAAGCTATTGTAGGAGACTGGAGCAGAACCAGACCCCAAATTCGCAGGTGTTGGGAAGGGGACAACTGCTCGGAGTGCTTTAGGAGAGAGCTGTGGTGTGCAGAAGGCAGCAGGGAGAAAGAGAACACATGGATTTTTAAATTTATTTTGTTTTCCTTCATGTTATGATGGGACTGAGTAGGAAAGCTTGAAAATCGAAGGAGGAATTTGCAGGGAAAGGTAAAATGTTCAAATGATTTTTGTTAGGAGCAAGGGGGTAATTGAATCTTTGTTAATGGTTTCACAGACTGCTGTGGTATGGCATAGCAAACCTTGGGCTTCCTCTTTGCCTGTCGCTTGTTTTTTATGCTCTTGGTATCACACCCATCTTAGGTTCTTCTTCCACACTTAATATTTTTTTTCCTCTTGTAATTTTCCCCTTGGAGCGAATCTTTTCTGTGTTACGTGCTCAGTGGTCTGACTGGGATCAGCAGCGCTGTTCTTTCTGTAAGGAGACAATGGGTCAGTATTTTAATTGAAGCCCACTGTAACTCTAAGTGAAGCCCACTGTAAAATTTTTAGGATGTCTACAGATTTTTTTCTAGCTCAATAAAACTAAGCAAAGCCCATCAGGGTCTTTGGATACGTGTGCTTGATTGTTTGTTTTGTGTGGCTAAAGTTACGATGGCAGTCTTGGAAAGTGAACTCATTTTAAAATAGCTGTATTTGTGAGTAAATTACTAGAATTACTGTAGACTACAGGTTGTTGGTACAAATAGAGGCTTCAGAGAGCACTGAAAATGTGATAAAATTAATGTAAGGGAAACTGAGAGGTGAAAATGGACAAGTGATACAGAGCACTTGCTCAGAAGGGCAAGGGCAGCGGTGTTCAGCTGGGCTTGTACTCGGGTTTGGTTTCAGTTTGGTTTCACAGCTTGGTATCGTGTTCTCTGGTGAATAACGCCCACATGGTGTGTTCTGGTGATGATGTACTTGGTGATGCAGTAACGTCAGGGTAAGGAGGAGCTCCCAGCAAAGCTCTGACAAGTGGTTCTCTTCTCAGGAAATTCCAGACGGACCATCTGGGTTTTGTAATCTCTTCTGCAATGCGGGTCAGCCAGCTGCTGCTCCTGCAGAGGACCTCTCATCTTTCCTCCAGCCCCACTGACTTTCCAGGTGTCTTGTTCCTTCCCGTGCAGGGGAGGTAACGCTGGAGCCATCGCTCACGTGTTGTGTCCTCCTTTTCCTTCACAGGGGACAGTCTTCACTTTGGAATTGGAAGAGGAAGAGTACCCTGGGCTCATCGCAGAGGACAGTAATGACATCTACATCCTGACCAGCGACAACTCGGGACAGGTGAGCCCTCCGGAGTCCCCCACGGTGACCACGTCGTGGCAGTCAGAGAGCCTGCCCGTCTCCCTGTCAGCCAGTCAGAGCTGGCACACGGAGAGCCTGCCAGTCTCCCTGGGACCCGAGTCCTGGCAGCAAGTGGCCATGGATCCCGAAGAAGTCAAAAGCCTGGACAGCAACGGAGGGGGTGAAGAAAGGAGTGAGAACAACTCTTCCAACTCGGATATTGTTCATGTGGAGAAGGAAGAGATACCGGAGGGGATTGAGGAAGCAGTGGTGTCAGCTGTCCCTGCAGAGAGCACCCAGGCAGCATTTCCAGAAACCCCAGCTTCTTTACAGGAAGTAAAACCTCAAGCTGAAATTGCTGCTGCTGTTGAAAAAGCACATCCCTCTGCACTTCTGCATACAAAACAGGAGGAAAAGGGAAAAGCGGCTGAAGAGCTTGTTGAACCTGAAATCCCTGTATTAAGTAAACCTGTCCCAAAGTTAGCCCCATCAGAAGAAAAGGCTGCACCAGAACCTGAGAAAATACTGCTTCCAGGGGAAAAAAAAGTGGGGAAAGAGGGCTGTTTGGAAGAAATAGAAGAGAAATCCTCTGCTGCAGAGGAGAAGCCCATCTTACTGCCAGAAGGGAAATCTATACTGCTGTACGGCGGGGCTGCTGCAGTGGCTATATTAGCTGTGGCAGTCGGAGTAGCGCTGGCGCTTAGGAAAAAGTAACAGAGCTCTCTTGAGAAGGAGGAGGAGGAGGAGGAGGAGGAGGGTGGGGGGGAGAGCAAAGAGAGCACGATCTGATTCTTGTAGTTGTGTTACCTTAAAGGTTGAGCTGCCTGCTGTTTCATTGGACATTTGAGTAACTTAATGGTGACGGGGTGAGGTTGTTCAATAAGCCTCCAGCTATGGACAATCACGTTTTTAGTAGAACTGGGAAGGGGACTGGTTTTTCGTGATTAAAGTAACAGGGGTATTTTTAAAAAGAAAAAAAAAAACAAAAACAAAACAAAAACCCAATAATAATAAATTCTGCAAATTTAAGAACTTAAGCGCAGGTGCTGAAGAAAGGGGTGCTCGTACTCTAGGAACTGGAACAGAGAACCCCCAGGGGAAGGGGAGAGCCAGCTGCTGCCAACCCCTGGAGTGTTTTGGCTTCTCTGACTGACCGCTCTTGCAGCTGCGCTGTCTTGTCACTTCCCGTCGCCTCCCCCGAGCCCTCCCTAACCCACCATAGCCAACCCCAGTCCTGTAGCGAGAGGCTGGTCTCCCTTTTGTCTCGGCTTCCTCTCAGGTACAGCACTGCTCCTCGTAACCTCCCAGGTTCCTCCTGAGCCCCAGATGGGAGAGTGCTTATTCTTACCTCTTTGCTCACACCGGTTTTGGCCCCTGACACGTACTGGAGCCCCATCCTGTAACACTGCTGCCTCTCATAGCTGTGTCATCTCCGAGCATCCCAGTGTTCCTGGGGGAGAGGTGCAGGAGGAGGGTGGGAGGGACACACGCTGCCATTTGCTGGTGGGAGAATCCATTTGCTCTGCTCCTGCCTGGCCCCACTTCATTCCCACCTGTGAGTTACCAGAGGTGCAGAGTTCCTGCTGGAGGTGGTGCGGCTGGATCCGTGCTCTGACACCGGGGTACGTTCGGCAAAGATTGGCAAAACTCGGTGGGAGTGAGGCCGATGCCTCCTGTGCAGTTCCAAGGGTAAATGCTCTGCTGTCCCGGGTCAGGCTGCAGCCTGTGTCGTCTTTCCCAGGTGTATTTAGTCCTGAGTGGGCTGTGCCAGAATCCCAGCTGCATAAAGCGATGGATTCCAGTAACCGAGCAAACCAGCGGTAAAAACATCTCCTGGATCCGCCTGTTCCTGACCTGACCTGACCCGGAGTGTCCTTCAGCGCCATTTCTTTTGCCACTCTGACTCTAATTAGCTAAACTTAACAGGTTCACTAATGATGAGAAAGTTACTGTGGCAAAAAGTAAATCCCTTTTCCTGCAGTCACACCACTCGCAACGTGTGTGTGAAGAGAAACCTTTGAAGTACTGCCCTAGGCATGAGTTCCGTCGGGTTGGACCGCAGCCGTTCCGCTTTGTCTGTCTGTCCTTGTCCCCACAGCAGCTCTGTGGGAGAGACCTTCCTTCTTTCCAGGCAGAGCTGCTGCTGCTGCATCTCCAAGGGTTTGTGCTGGCACTGTGGCTTACACCAGACAGAGGCAAGTGAAAGGGAACTCGGGCTAATGTGAAAATCAGGAGGTGAGCTTACGGGAAGCTTGCTCGTCATAAAGCACAAAGGTACTTTAGTTCTGAATAACCCTATCGAGAGCACGTCTCCCAACGAGCCTGTTCTGAGGTGAGCTGAGAATGAAGAGGTTTTTAACACATTCTCTTGCTCTATTTTCCTATCCCACCCACATCCTGGGATGCTGGGAAGTCAAGTCAGAACCTGACAGATTCTGAGGAATTTTGTTGTTGTTATTTAAGCTTTTTTGAGTGGATTTTTTTTAAATTGTTTTTATTTTTAGAAAACTTGTTGGATTTTTGAACTCTCTGTGTGTGTGTGTGTGTGTGAAATTGAATACTGAGAGGAAGGATTGTCACTTGTGTGCTTCTGCTGCGGACTGAACTCAGGATCTCCAGAGTTCTGGACTTTACTGTTGCTCACCGATTGCTCTTTTTCCGTGTATAAAAGGTAGCAGGTTGGCCTTAACAGAAAACAAAACCCCAGATTTTTTTACCAAGTTGCAAAAATAGAATTGACTTTTTTTTTTTTTTTTTGCCACTTGCTGGTGCCCTGCTGGTCCTCTCCCTGCCGTGCTGTGTGTGCAGAACGGGACCTCCTCCTGCCATGGACTCTGGTGTCTGTCCCACCACCGCAGTTCCCTCTCCTGGCCCCTCACGGGAGCTTCCCTCGCGTGGAGAGGTGTCTTTGTGCTCCTTTTATCACAGACACCCAGGAATGTTTAGTTTTGCGTCATTTCACGTGTCACAACAGTGTTTATCACCAAGTGACACAATCTGTGCGGGTACCTGGTTGTTCTGTGTGACAAGGGCTGCTCTGACTGCCTGGGACGTTGGGTAGGTCTGTCCTTCTCCTGCTGCTTTGCTGACAGCTTTGGTTTCCTCTCCGGGTGTGTTCTCTGTGGGTTCTTAGCCCAGCCGACATCGCCAGGTGAGGCACTTACCTTTGGGACATCCCCCAGCTGGAGCCACGCAGCGGGTTACACAGAGGCACCCACATGTCCCCTGAAGCAGAGGTGGATTTTTTTGGATGCTCTGGGTAATTTGTGTGCACGTGTGTCGGGTGTTTTTAGCTCTTCTCCGTAGATGGCTGTGGGAGATGGGTACAGGACAGACCAGAATAGATCCACGCCGGTGAGGGAGGAAGTCCCTTGCTTGTTGGCACAAGGAGCCCAGTGGCTCCCAGCATCTCCCATATCCAGCGGTGGGAAGGTGGCAGCAGTAATAAGGCAAACAAATGACTTTTTGGCTTATTAAGAGTTTTCATGGTGGGGCAAACGCCTGGAGTATCTGGTGTGTTGTCACAGTTAATGGAGCATCAGCTGCACCGTGTGTTTTGGTTGCTTGGTCCTTTTTTTTTAATCTCATTTTAGGGTCTTACAGATTTGACAAGTCAGGAAGAATTTGTACCCTCTTCTCCCCCACCCTACTGACCAGGCATTTAGAAAATGTATTGTACGTGTCTCTCTCCTCTGGGAATGCTCCCTTAGCTACAACAGTCAGTTATGGACCTGAATTTCACTGAAGGTGGAGTCCTCTGCTCAGAGCTGGGACAGGCCCCGTGGCAGTCACCAAGGGCAGGTAAGCTCAGAGTTCTTACAGCTGTGAGTGCCAGTGCTTGCTCTGTCATAGGTGTAAATTAGAAAATGGAAGGTTTTCTCCCCCCATCTCCAAGTATATTTAAGTAATCGCAATCTGCAGGGTCTAATGACCCCAGCCCGTGTGATTCCACCTCTGGTTAGTGGATCTCCTGCAGCTGGCAGAGGAAAGGCAGTAGCTGTGTACTTAGGAAAGGGCATACAGAATTATTCTCACTTGTGTTGCTTATATCCCCTTCCCAAAAGTGCCTCAATATCTGTCCTCGAGTGGCCTGTACCTTAACAAAATACAATCTACCTTAGACCCATTCTTTTCGCCGCTGTATCCTTGCCTGCAGCACACCCTCAAGCAGAGATGCTAAAAGCAGCAGAGGAGTGTTAAGGACCTGCGGGGGGTGGGATGCTACAGCAGGAGCTGGTGAGGAAAAGGCTTTCAGGATAAAGTGCAACATAGATCTCAGCTGGGCTTAACCCTGAGCTGTGCTCACCTGGGTGTTGTGGCTGGGAGCTGGGCAAGGGCTGTCCTCAGCGAGTGTTCCTGCAACAACAGCCTGAAACCTGGAATCCTTCTGTTGTGTAAAAGCCCAAACCACAGGCACAGCCCTGGCCCTGCCGGCCGCAGCCGTGCCAGAGCCCGCTGGATTCCCCAGTCCCTTCACCTGCCAGAGATCCCGGCTGGGGGGCCGCGGCTGGGACAGCAGCGCTGCGCTGGGTTGGGACAGCAGCGCTGAGCTGCTCGGCCAGGGCACAGATCAGAACATTACTGGGCACACAGAGAGGCAGCTTGAGAACTTCAGCTTTCGGTTCTCATCAGCCCAGGTGGAGGCTGAGGAGGGTTCTCAGGGTGCTGAAAAATACTGAGAATAGCTTAGAGCTGAAAGACGAGCTC